TGGCAGAAAAACGGCACAGAAATACAAGCCCAGACCATCCAACCCTTTTTCTTCCCATTGAATCTCACCCATTATTTCCAACTCTCTGTCACATACATTGTTCCCAGAATCCTTGGTTGAATACTGCAAAGAAATCTAAATCAGCCTTTGGGAAACACTGAGAAAAGTGAATCATTATACTACTTTATCATTTTCTGGGCTGGGGAGAAGACTGTGATTTATTCTTACCATTCTGCACAAGAGGTTATTTGAAAACTAAAGATTTTCCTTTTCTCCTCTTTCTAAAGGGATTTAAGTACTTGAGCATAAATGCATGATTGGACATACTTGATTGACTCTAGTTTAGGTCATGTTTAGTTTGTTGTTTTTTTTAAGTTTAGTATTTAAAATGTTACCTTTCAGTTGGGCACAGTGTGCATGCCTGTAATACCAGCAGCTCAGGAGGCTGAGGCAGGAGGATCATGAGTTCAAAATCAGCCTCAGCAAAAGCGAGGTGCTAAGCAAACTCAGTGAGAGCCTGTCTCTAAATAAAATACAAAATAGGGCTGGGGATGTGACTTAGTGGTTGAGTGCCTCTGAGTTTAATCCCCAGTACAAAAAAAAAAGATGTTGCCTTTCAGCTTGCAATAATAAATGACAACTAGCTAAAAGTATTATAATCAAAATCTAAACTTTAGCAATACAAAAGAAATGAACAGCATGTGCAAGTGAGCCAGACAGTTCAAGTCACTGTTGCCTGCTGCCAGTCTGGCATTGGGATGTTCCCAAATTTCTACACACCTCCATTTCTTTGCTCAACGGGGAAAAAACATGATTTGCGTATTTTCATTTTTATGAGCATTGAATAAATTAATAACTATAAAGCCTTTAAAAGTGCTTTCACAAAGATTATTGTTCTTTCATTCATTCATTGGTTTCTTTCAATAAATATTTACTGAGTGCCTCATTGATGTAAAGTGTGAGTGTGAGGATGTGGTCCTGAGGAAAAAAAGATGAAGGACTGTTTATAATTATCATTACTGAATCACTTTGAAATGTCTCCTGTGAACTGTGTCACTGCTAACTTAGGTACATGGTCTGTGTGGCCTTATTGCCTGTGACTTGGCAAAGATCTTAGCATGAAATAACTGCTTAATAAATGTTGCTAGAATGTACGTGAGTCCGTTAGTGTAGGATAACAAGCTCTAGATTTGGAATTGGACTATGTCCGATCACTCCTACTTTCTACCTTAGGGTATAGTATTACCTTGAAAAACTTAGTGAAACCTTCCTAGTGAAAAATCAAGAAAGCCGTACTATAAAACTGCCAAGTTCCCTTCTGGCTATGATTCTGTAAAGTCATTGAGAAGATATTTTATTTGTTTGACTAGTTTTACTTCTATTTTTCTTAAGTTTAATAAACTTTAATTTTATAATAGTCTTAGTTTTATTTAAAAAAAAAAAAAAGTGCAAGAATATGAGAGTTCCCACACACCCTGTACCTCATTTCCTTCATAGTTAACATTTCTCATTACTGCAGTATATTCATAACAACTAAGGAACCAATACTGATATTATTATTAACTAAAGCTCTCATACTTTACTATGATTTTTTTTTTAAGAAAAAGGTACTGGGAATTGAAAACAAGGTCACTTTACCACTGAGTGATAACCTTTGTCCTTTTTATTTTTTTGAAACGAGTTCTCACTAACTTGCTGAAGGTCTTATTCACTTGCTGAGACTGGACTTGAACTTGTCCTGCCTCAGTCTCCCAAAATGCTTGGATTATACGTTTAGAAGGATCCCATTACTAAAAGATCCCATTACCACACCCAACACCCATCTTCACATTTCTTAAGTTTTTGCCAAATGTCCTTTTCTCTTTTTTACCCCAAGATCCAATTCCATTTTACATTTAGTAGTCCTGTCTTCTTAGCCCCCCTATGTAGTGACAGTTTCTTAAACTCCTTGTTTTGATGAGTTTGATATCTTTGAGGAACATTAGTCAGGAATGTGGTAGAGTATATTGCAATTTTGGTTCATTTTTTATTTTCCTCATAGCTACACGGGGGTTATAGATTTGGGGGAGGAGGAACACAGAGGTAATTCTCATCACATTATATGTTGTTAACATGATCATCCATTCAAGACTATTTTAATGAGTACATATCATTAGTGTATATGTATTTGGTAATTTGGTTCCCATGTTAAGGAAAATCCGTTTGCTATATTATTATTTTGTATGCAAAGTATAGAGTAGGTGATTCTCTTTGAATAATGTATAATCTTAAACTATATTTACCTTAATTTCTTTTCTTTTAAAAGTCCCCTTTATTACAGATATAACAAAGGTGATTGAAAAATCAATGTCTTGTTATAAATTATTAACAATCCTACCTTTATGGAATCAATGTCTATATATTAAATTTAAAATGAAAAATGTGATTTTTGTGTTTCTTTTTCAAAGGCACTGCAAGCTTAGAAAATAATATATCTGTGCTTAGCTACGTGGTCAAAAGTGTGCCACAAAATAGAAATATGGGAAATGAAGCATTTTGCTGTTAATTCCCCTAAGCCTGTCTCAAGCAAGGAACTTGCCAAAGCAATGTTAATACTTCACTAAGCCCTAACCATAGAGAATCTAGTGCTTCTAATCTTATAGTGTCTTTTAAATGTGCCTTATCCTCTGGGGTCAGCGGAAATACTGATGCAGCTGTCACAGGGATTGGAGGATGCGCGGCTTTGTTTTTTCTGTACTTTTTTTTTTTTAACACATTTTACCGTAAATAAGAAAGTTGCCTTCAGATGAATAGGATCTATTTTATGTGCCATTTCAGATTGAGACATTAAATAAATATGTCAGTTTAGACAAAAAGTTATTTAGAAGGATCCCATTACTAAAGAAATTTTTAGCATCTTTAATTTAAATGAAATAAATACCCACCACATCCCACTCTTTCTTCAGTATGTAACCAGACTTTAAATATAATAGCTACATTTATGTTCAGTCAGAACATTTATTATCAGAGTATTTTTTACCCCCGCCCCAAACCCTGATTTCCTTATTCCATGAAACAGTATTCCCTGACTTAATATATTCTACTTGTGTGACCTTGGAAATCATCCTTAATTTCTAGAATTTTCTGATTTTCATAGCTTTATGTGAAGGTTAAATGAAATTATTTTCTAGGTATATAAAAATTTTTTTAAATATATAGAGCACTTAGCAAATTGGTCACTAGTGAGTTATTCAAAGACACATACACAAATGCTTTCAAACCATAATTTCTGATTTATTGGAGGGCAATAAATAGCTATAGGAGCATGTTAGCATTGTGTTTTATACCATCTCTAGGTTGTCAAAGATATGTTCAGGTTGTTCTCTGATATTTTAATCATGTGACCTTAGCAGGAAAATAAAAACTAATCAGAAAGTGGATCTCTCAACATTCAAGGGAATGGAAGTGTTCTAACAGCAAAAACTGATGGTAGAGTAATTTTATTATTTTTTTATCCATGGTGCACCAATTTGCAGTGTGACATATTTTAAAACAGAACTTATGAATATTATCCATTATACTGGGAAACAATCTTAGCTGTTAAATAAGTGATTAAAAGTGTGTGAAGTGTCAGGCTAGGGAAACAAGATCCAGATGAATATTACTATAGAAGTGTCCTTAACAAGGGCTGATTTTTCATCGCATTGGATAGTGTTTCTGATGCCATATTTAGGAAAGTAGCAATAAACAACGTCAGCTTTTATTCCCACCTCTACACGTGGATCTAGTGGATGTCCAAGTTAAAAGGCATGTTGAATGGCACTCAGCTCATGATGATTGAGCTAATAAAAAGTAAATACTTGGGTAGGTAACAAACCATTACCTGCAGACCACTGTCCCTTGTACACACTGCCCAATCATGAACTTTTCAGTATGGTATTAAAGAGTGACCATAGAAGCATGTGAAATGATATATGGAATGGCAGCTCTGAAAGCAGCTGTAGCCACAGAGGCCACCTGGGAATATAGAATGAAGAAGGTACAAGAATAGATAGAATATGAGTATAGTGCTCACTTGCAGATCATTCCTGGACATGGCAAGCATTGCTAATATCATGGTGATTGGCATATTTGGGAGGAGAGCTATGTATACCCCAGTGAAGTTAGGACGAGGTAATTTTGCTTTGAAGGTTGATCTCTCCAGATTTAGTATCAGACATTGGAGCCAAAAGGGTTCTTGGGTTACAGTGCATCCACACGTTCATGATCATCACACTCTTAAAATGATGTGACTAATGCATGCTGTGACTAGTCTGTGAATTCCTCATCAAGAGTGGCTACTGATGTTTGAATATTTGTGTCACAAACTTCTGCCCACAGAAGTCTGATACAGAGCATGCATTTAGTAAACACGATGGAATAGAATTTCTCTTATTTTGGTATCAATGTTATTGTACTCTGTGTTGAATTATTAACTCTTTGTAAACAGAGCAATGGCTTTTCTGAACTGATAATCTAGACAAAGCAATTATGACATCAGGGTTCCATATTTATTTTTCCTAAAAACCAAGGAAATACAGAAGGGAAATAGTCAAGTAGTAAGGAAAAAAATAGAAAAATATTTATAAAAGCATTTACTCTCTATTTTAGTTCTTAAAAAAGTCATCTATGTATAAATGCATGTATACAAAGTACAATAGTATAAATATTATATTCAGATAATATGGCAAGAGAAATTTGTGGGCTTTTTTTTAAAATCCCATAGAGTATTTTTAAAAATTGTGTGAATATTTTTAAATCTCTGTTATTTTGTAGACTCATCTGAATGTTTTATTTCAATATACGAAATTAAGTGTGGTCATCAATGCATATTTCCTCATGAGATGATTGATACATAGTTGACAAGCAGCAATTGCTAGCTGCTGTTGTGGTTATTAGCAGAATATAATATTAGTGATATGTTTCCAAATAGGGAAAGATGATACTACTCTCACCCCCTTCGTATGGTATTTTGAATGCAGACAGTACTGCAGGGACACCAGCAATATCAACGTCGACAAGTGTGGAAATCCGCAAAAGCAGTGTTATGACACCTGAGATCACCTCTAAAGTGGAGAAGAGCCCCACGACAGCCACTGGCAACAGCTCGTGTCCTACTACGGAGACTGAGGAAGAAAAGGCAAAACGGCTTCTTTACTGTTCGCTATGCAAGGTCGCTGTCAACTCCGCCTCACAGCTGGAGGCGCACAACAGTGGTGAGATGCAGCCATTTCTTTTCTGTCTCAACAGCTCTGCAATTATCTTCCTCTGAATAGATTAGATCTTTTGCAGCAGGGGACAAAGGGGTGGCAGAAAACTGGCAATTATTACATGGTATTCATTAACCATTAAAAAATAAAAATGGCAAGCAAAATGTCATTTGTATAGGTGCAAAGGAGGGTTTATAGGGCTTGCAGGCCCGTGTGGGGTATGTGAGTGTGTGTGAGTGTGTGTGTGTGTGTGTGTGTGTGTGTGTGTGTTTTATTAAACATAAGGAGATAAAACGTAATTCTAAAATATGTTCTGCATTTATATGATTACTTATGCACTTGCATGCATTTGCTTCTAAAATGAAATTTTCTAAAACCATACCTATACTATGATTGCAAAATGTGGTTCTACAATTCCATTTACTTTTGGCTAAAACCCCTCTATTAATGATTTTTATGGCAAATCGTGCTATTTGGGTTACATCTATGTGATTTTGACAATTAAACTTAAGAAAACATTTATTATGTGCAGCCTCTGAGATATGATCTTTACTCTTCCCACAACTGAAACATATTATTCTTTCCATTTGAGGTTCAGAGAAGGAAAAGCATGTGGCCAATTAAGTGACAGGACTATGATTCAAACCCAAGTCCCTCTTCCTTGAATATAACACTTTAAAGCAGAAAAGGAAAATACTGGAACACTGACAAGTTACGACAAAAATGCTCTCTGGATCTATTTTGGTTCCATCCAGCTGCTGTGTGTGTGTGTGTGTGTGTGTGTAATGTATATATCCCCTTCTCTCTCTCTCTTTCTGTGTATGTGTGTACACACAAATATCAGCTTTTCTCTAAAAACTGGGTTGATTGCCAAGATCAACGTTTCTCTGAAAGACTGGGTGCATTGCCAGGATTCTGTCAGCAACTATAAAAGAAGTAGAATCATTTGTGAATCATGCCCTGAGTTAATATTGCAGCTGTATGTTGAGTCACTGACCAAACTGTTGTGCTGCAGGGTCATATTCAAGTATTGACTTCAGGACTCTAAGGAGTAATTGCAGATGGAGAACAATGACTCCAGCACACATCCTCCTTCTGCATACATTAACTGCAGTCAGGGAAAGTTCATGAGTTCAGGAGCCGAAAAACACAGGAAAGCATCTGGCCCCAAGTCAGAATCTACTGCATGTAGATTTGCCATGTGTTTACTCATGCAAATCCTTTCCCCCCTCCCCCTTGGATGCTGGAAAGTTCATTTGTTGCTCAGAAATTCTTGATCATTCCACAGAGTGACAGAAAAACGCATTCAGTTTGAGGGGGGAATCAATTTTGACAGGTAAACCATGCATGCCCTTTGAGGTTGGAGTTTGCTGATAAGAATTTCAGAGTCTTTCTTGAATTCTTATCGGAAACATCTCATGAAGAAGCAGAAGAGTTACTTATTTGATTATATCACACCAGGTCAACATTTTTCATATTTCAGTTCTATGGTCCTTCTGTCTGCCTTGAGTGTCAACAAAATTACCCACGAAGCGTTTAAAGTATATCTTCCTGGGCAATACACCTGGGGATTCTGATGACTTATACCCAAGGCTTGGGAAGCTGTAGTTTTGGGGAAAAGAAAAAGGAAATACTTCCACTGAAGTTTGCAGACAGAGCTGAGAGTGACCCAAACAATCTCCTCTGACAGTTTGAGAAGGTGAACATAGTTGTCACCCCTTACCTGAGTCCCTGTAGAGGACAGTTCCCAACAAAATGTCAGCCTGATCTAAAGACTTCAGCCACTTCCCTACTTCATTCAGGTTGCTTCTTGGCATTTCTCATCCTTATCTTTCCCTTTCTGAGTCTTTTTTCTTTTTTGAAAGACCCAGACCCGAATCCTAATGCTCATTGCAGACCTTGTCCTAGACTTGGACTAGTGAGTGGTGTCAGGACTAGAGGTGGCATAGGAAGAAGAAAAAGACTCAAGTCAGTGGTCTCTGACCTCTTTGCTCCACTATGTATGATCCCCCAGCTCTGCTCTGTCATCCATAACTGCAGGTCTGCTGAGAGGCCCCACATGTCTGGACTTCCTCTGGCTGTAACTATATATAAATTCAGTCCTGTGTCCAAACAACAGCCACTTGTACTTGGGTTGCTCTGCATCTTTCCCTTGGGTCTGCTATAGGGGAACCTATGATGCAAGTGTGAAGAATAGAGGCTAATGCCTAATGCCCTGCCAGGATAGATTGAACATAGGATTGCTGTAGTGTGCTCTCGTTTGGATTCCCACAGAAGCAGATTCTGAGACAAGGTTTTGGGGACAGATAGTTTTTAGGGAGGTGAAGGATACAAGTTGGGGGAGTGGGGAAAAGAAAGAGGGAAGGGAAGACAGCCAATGCAGGACACATCATTTAGCTAGTGACCAACTTGGGCAGCTGGAGCTCACCAGCCAACACCATTAACTTCTCAGTTCACACTCTGCTTCACGGCTTAAACACAGCTATTTCAATTGTTCAGAGAGAATGACAGGATCAAATTAATTGTTTCTTCATATTTATAATCATTGTGTTATCATTGTTTGTTTAAAATCTGTTTGCATTTTAAAAGGACATAGGAGGGGTCAAATGTATGAACTGTGCCCTTAGTAAATTCAGCCTTTGAAACTGTTAATGAACTTACCTGATGAAACCAAAACTTACAACTGAATTTGTGTGTATCTAGGGCTAATGTGAGGTTTATTTGTAAGATAAGTAAGAGCAATGCGGTGATTTATTATATACTGAATCTTAACAGTAACCCCATCAATTGCTTAAAATATAGACTAACAGTATTTTTCAGGTGTAATACTTCATCACTGACATTCTAGAGTTTCTGGCTTGTGGTACCAGTAGAAACAGGCTGTCTTGTTCCTTTAGTCCATTTAGTTATGGTTTTCTGGATTCTTTTTAAATGTAACCTCTCACTGTCTGCTCTCAGCGAAGATCACAACCACTGCCCCATCTTAGGACTCCCTTGCCCCCTATCCCTCCAAAATCACTTTAAAGACTTCTCAGATTTTTGCTAGAGTCATGAAATTAGAAAAAAAAATATGTTTAAAATTAGGTTTGAAGATCAATCCTAGTCAGAAGCAGCCAGGTTTCAGGTAGGGCAGTGTTTCTCGTGCATCCAACAAATAATTCTCTTTCTTTGCTCCCTGTTGGAAGTACATTACACACAAACATACAACAGTTTCCCTACATTTAAGTGTGGAAATGTGCATCTCTGGGCTGCCAATGACCTTTCAAAATGTTTTACTTTTAATCTTGGAAAATCTAATCCTGAGCAACTGATTACAGGTAGTGTACCAGGGGTACAGTTTTATTCAAATACTGCCTGTGGTATGGTTCAACAGAATGAAGTAGAAGTGATTTAGCTTACTTTTACCCTCAGGTATACACATCACCTTACTTGAACCTGGGCAAGGAAATTGTCTTCTATGGGCTCTTTCTAGCTCTTTCTTCTCCCTGTCTTCAATGGAGTTCCAAGCCATGTGGCACCTCTTAAGGATCTAATATTACAGCACAATGCGGAGCGTGACCACTGCTGCGTCCCACATACTTAGGGGTCAAGTGTGTCTTTCTGTTTGCTTTTTCTTTTTATTCCTCATTATGGCGGAACCATTTGAAGTTGCAGTTATTTGATTTGTATTCCATAGATAGCATAGGCACACAGGACTGGAACAGAAGCATTCCTGCTTTGATATTTTAAGAATATATGGGAAGAGAATATGCAGTTTAAAAGCCAGAGCTCTTCTGAGCTTCCCAGCAGGACTCACAGGACAGTCTACAAATGCTAAAACCACCTTGAAGAGGACCTAGTCTCTTTAGGAGAGCTGGAACCCCCTTGCAACTTGTGTGTTATAATCCAAGTTATTACAAAAGATGTGGTTTCTCTTTTCCCTTAAAGAAATTTCCCCCAAATATCCTATTTGTTTAGCTAATTTTTATGGTTTTCTCTGTGTAATGGGGAAAAGAGTTTGACATGTTTTATAGTTAAAGCTTATTACTAATTTGGGCAGATTTTTCTGGTAATTACTTGAAGCACTAACACTTAATAGTTTTCACTCAGCTCATTCCAGTCTTGCTATCCCTTGACAGAGCTTATTCTATCCCTCACTAAGTTTTAATGTACAGAAAATATCACTATCAGAGGACAGACTCTACTAAATTTAAAAATGCTTGGAGATTTCTAAACTTTTACCTTGACAAAGCAATGGTGTTATGAAGGAGAAAGAAAAGAATTTAGTAGGGTACATGGAGTGCCCTAAGTTATCTTTAGAACAGTAAATGCATTTAATATAACACTCAATAGAGCAGATCATTTCCTTTTCTATAACTGAGGACATTGAGGTACAAAGAAATTGAAGATCCCCCACAGTTAATGGAGGCAAATTCTGACATGTGCAGTTCAAAAACCAGAGCTCATAATTCCTTTTACAAATGAAAAAATAATAATAATTTCAGTGTTTATTTTATTAATCTGTACTAAGATACTACTAAGAATAATTTCAGTGTTTATTTATTAATCTGTACTAAGATCTAATACTCAAACTAATTTTTACTGATTATCTAACATATGTTAGGCACACCCTGGTCTCTTTCCCTTCTTGGCCACGGGGTAAGAGGTCTTGTCTATCAAGAACTCCCACCTTGATGCTGTGCCTCACTGAAGGGTCCAGAGAACAAGGACAACCAGTCATGGACTGAAATTTCCAAAATTATGAGCCCCAAAAGATCTTTTCTAAGCTGCTTATCTCCAGTATTTCATCATGCTGATGGAAAGCTGGCTAACACATACCTCCTTTTTTCTTCCTGCCTCTACATGGTATATTTGAATACTAGAGCTGAACTACCTTGTATGGTAATCATTAGCCTCAGGAAGCATTCAAATTTAAATTAATTTCAAGTTCAGTTTATCAGTTGCAGTGGCCTGATTTCAAATGTCAAAGGGCCACACATGGCTAATTATTCATTATCTGGAAAAAT